TCCTCTAGGAGGCATCAATATATTCAAGTGATAGAATATGCCCCCCAGCATCCAGAAGTAACTAATCGATTTTCTGACCAAGATTTCATTTTTTTCTCCTCCAAACACAGTGAGTTGAGTTAATGCCAGATAGGTCAATGTTGGTCTCATCTGACCACAGCACTTTCCCCCAATCCTTCTCTGAATCATTTAGATGTTCATTGGCAAACTTCAGACGGGCCTGTACATGCGCCTTCCTAAGGAAGGGTGAATTTACAGGCACTGCAGGATTTCAATCCATGGCGGCGTATTGTGTTACCAATGGTTTGTTTGGTGACTGTGGTCTCAACTGCCCTGAGATCATTCACAAGCTCCTCCCTTGTAGATCTGGGCTGATCCCTCACTTTTCTCATGATCATCCTTACCCCATGAGGCAAAATCTTGCATTGAGGTCCAGATCGAGTAAAAAGCTTCAGGAAGTTGTCCTCGGTTAAACAGTTCCTTGGACATTCCATGTATCCCTCATCCCCATCCAAGTTCAATACCCCTAATATAATTAAAAAAAACAAGTTCAAGGACTGGTTACTGTCTCTGGAGTGGAAGGCCAGAAGGATATGCATGTTGCCTGTCTGTGCAGGACTATAAGGAGACCCAAATCTCTAGCGACTCCTAAGGGGGTAGTGCTACATTACTTAATCCAGAATGTATACACCCTTAAACAAGAAGTGTGTTACTGCTAGGATCACCAGGTGAAGTAAAGGGAAAAAAGTCTGAAAAATTAAAACTAATGCAGCCACCATATCTAAGGATTTGTAAGCTGCAGTGTATTATGTTTTTGTTTTTAAGTTTTATACCACTTTAAATTGTATTTTAGATATCAGGGTACTCCCCTAATCATTTGGTAATTGATACGTTTTGTTTATTTATTAGCACACAGCATCAGGGCTTATCAATTTTACCTTTTTGTTAAAGCAATAAAAACCTGACAGAGGTTGTAACCACTTGACTTTCAGCGATGTACCAGTACATCACTGGACTTCCCGTGGTTATACTGGGATGAGGCCTGCAGCTGCAGGCCCGATTCCAGTATTTTTTTTTTTTTAGAGCCAATGGTTGGCTCTCTTGTAAAGCAATTCTAGTGGCTAAATGCTTTTACAAGCAGCAGGAGGGGACTTCAGTGGCTCTCTTGGACTTTCCCTTCCCACCAGGTGAGCCGAGTGACCAGCTGGCAGTTCTGCTGGCTTACCATAGAGACAATCGAAGACTGGAACAGCTCCGATCATCTCTATGGTATAGCAAACCAGAAGCGATAAGCATTCATTACTTCCAGTTTTGGCAAATTGTAAACGGCACCATTTTTAATTAGAGAGGAGCTGCCCTGTCTCAACAATCATTTCTGCCAGCTTAACATCTTACTGCTTTAGATCTACTAGAGACTAGTGCTTTAAAGGGACATTATACAAGTCAATTGCTGCTTTCAAGAATGAGTGCTGTTCTTCCTTTGTTTTATTGCATTGTTCTTCAGAGAGAACATTATTCACACTTCCTCTCATTGTGCACCAACTGGGCCCCATCATGCATGCAGAAGACTCTTCACTGCATTTAAGTGAACATTGATTATTTGGGGTAGAGAGCTCTTTTCTTATGTCCGGCTACATCCCTGCCATCAGGTCCTGAGGGACTAAAGTGAGCTAGTATACCTGTTCGATAGCACTCGCTACTCACTGGGGGACTGTTAAGCCATCTCAGGTTGAAGGTATCGAGTTGATTTCTGAAAAGCAGGCCTGCTAACACTAGCTGAGACTCTGTGATAAGTGTTGTATTTTCTTAATTTAAGTTAACACAAGTAACAACTGACTTTGCACATGCCAATTCTGTTTATGTTGTGTAATCAAGCTATATTAAAGTTTGCTATAAACCTCTCACCAGTTTTACTCCAATCAGTGTGTTAGATTACTTACTGGTGTTGATTTATTCCAGCTAATGCAGGCCATAGACGGGGAGAAAACCGGCCGTTTTTTTAACAGAAAAACGAAAAATCGATCGCTCAATAGGCCGACGTTACCACCAACAGTAAAAAAAAAGTCTGCCGATTTTCTTCTCGTCTACGGCCGGCATTTAATTACTTCTGTCCCTGCAGAGAGCTCTGCTATTATATTTGACATTAAAAAGTATTGCGGTTGCAACATTGTAACTATTTGTATCCATTTCGGATACAGATGTTTTTAGGATACAAATAGATACATTGTTGCAACCGCAATACTTTTTAATGTCAAATATAATAGCGGACTGGAATTATTCTTCTTTCTCTTCTCTCTTCTTCTTCCTCTTCCTTCTTCTTCTTCCTCTTCCTCTTCTTTTTCATTTTTTTTTTCTTGCAGGTCACGGCTCATGTGCAGATTTTTTATCGGTAAAAAGATCGGGCGATTTGCCCATTATTGCCGCGAAAATTGGGCGATCGTCAAAAATGGCTGATTTTTTTTCCAACTTTATCGATCAAAAAAATCTGACAAAATCCAGAAAAACGGCCCGACCAATTAACCCATTACCGGAGCAAAAATCGGCCGATTTATTTTTGGCCGAAAAATCGGCCGATTTTCGACCCATCTATGGCCTGCATTAGAGTATAATGTGGTGTCAGCAGGGTTGGGCTTTCAGATAGGGGTCCAGAACAACAGGGAGCCCGAAAATAATTCAGAAACTCCTAAGGAGGTAGTGCTACATAAAATGTACATTTGTTGCCATTGCACAGGCATACACAATTTTAAAGTGTGACATATTTGGTATCTATTTACTCGATGTAACATCATCTTTTAAATTTTACCAGACAAATGGGTATTATACTGCGGTTTGTGCATTTATCGTGTAACATAAAAAATTGCAACGCCCGCTATTTTATTCTTTAGTGCCTCTACCTAAAATATATATATATATATATTTGGGGGGGTTCTAAGTAGTTTTCTAGCAAACAAATACTGATTTTCAGATGTAAAAAAAAGTGTCAAAAAAAAGCCTGCCAATTTTACATAAGAAATGTCACTTCTGCCTTTGTATTTGAAGTGAGGAGAAATTCCCTCAACATAGACAGAGGCCAAAACCCTTCTTCACTCTTCACTACTTCCTATAATGCAGTGCTTGGTGCCCTAAAGCTGAACTTTGGAGTGGGGGGCTTCTTTTAAGTCACATGTTCATAAGAGTTTCTGGGATGAATCTGCAGATCAGGGCAAGCTAGTATTGTGCAGGATGGAGCATTAGCATAATTTCATTTTACTTTTGTTGTTCATTATAGTATAGTTTAAAGCCTAGTACACATAATCAGAATATCGTATGAAAAATACCGCTTTCAAAGCGATTGTACGATAATCTGATTGTTAGTACACAGCTTTCATCTGAAATTATTTGAAGGCACAAGCACAAAAAATTTTCTTGTACAATACTAGATTGTACAATTTTCGTTTAATCAGTACAGTTTTTGTCCAAAAATACAATACAAATACATTATATCACTCCCGAATTTTCTTTCTGTCCTACAACTATTTTCATAACTTTAGTAACCTCTTCACTTTCAATATGAGACTAGCATGCAAAAACAAAGGACGACCATTCGTCCAATATTCTGTTCGTGTGTACAGCACACAGATAAAGGCTAATTCATGTAATGTGTGGAGGGATCAACGCAGGTCATTGCTGGGGCACATTGAAAACAATTGTTTCTATGTGCCCTATTCACACCACAACAGAGTGGTGATGTGCACTGCAGTGCCCTGCGTAAAAATGAAGAGAAGCTGCAGTGCCGTAGTGCATTACATGGCACCATTTGTCACGGTATATAGCTGAAATGTAGACTTAAATGAGGTGTCACTTTGTGAAAATTCAATAAAGCTGAAAAAAGTAAACAGTGCATCACAGTGGACTTTAGTGGAACAGCAGCCCACACGTTAAAGTGAGTTCTAAGACCTACAATTGCCATGAAAAATAGCAAATACCTGGTGTTATGGGGTTAATTATATGCACTTCAAATTTTTCTGAGACTTTCTTAACTCTACTTTACATAACTTGGGCTTTAGAACCCTCTTCTTTTGTTCTGTATAGCTGAATCATAGCATGTTTGCTGAGATTATTTGAGATGCATGTAAACCGTAACAATAAATGTCTTTTATTTTGTTCTCTTTTGGTAAAAAATGATGATTGAAAACATGTTACAATACCTGTTCGATAAGTGCAAAAAACTACCTGTTGATCCAAGCAGAAATCTTATGAACTGATAACTTCCTGCACACTTTGACTCTCCTGCACTGTTATCAGTTTGCATTGTTCCTAGTTTGCTCTTTGCAGTACACTGAGTGAGCATTGTCACCGTAGGACAGAAAGGGGTCTAGTTATAAAACATTTGTTGGGTGAATGTCACAAACATTTGTGCATGGTCAATGAGTTTTGGCTGTGGTTTCCGTAATGGATTCATTTCTATATGGTCAACTCTATTTAGTGGCCAAAATGGGGCATAGATTCCTGAAATACCTCAATGACAATATACAGCATTTTGGCCACAAAATGGAGCTGATAATCATAGGAATCAATCTGTTTTTTGAAATTATGGTCAAAATCCATTGAACATGCACAAATGTGTGTACGATTTGTTCAACAAATGCTTAATAAATAGCCTCCAATATTCCAGAATCACCACCTGATAAAAAGGGGAAAAATGTCTGAAAAAAGAAATCTGTTAAGCACCGTTCACATGGGGGGGACTCAGTTTTGATTAGAAGACAATCTGTCCACTGGTTCTCTTCTGATCGGAGCAGAGCGAGCAGATGACAGGTCTGTGTCCACTCAGTTTATGTAGAGCGGACATTGACAGAGCCCACTCTGCTTTATGGCCAGCCAGTTGTAAATGGACTCCGTTGTCCATTTACACCCAACTGCCCTGCAATCCAATCAACTTTTGTGGAGGGGGAAGGATCCCCTTCCATGTTTTTTAGCAGATCAGATTGGATCAGAGGTAGGTGGGTGTAAACGAACACAAGAGAGGTGAATGGATCTTCCAATCAGGTTCATCTGAAAAACTGACATGCAGATCTAATCAGTCCTACAGTCACTACATCCAAGGATTGGTACACTGCAATGTACCATATATTTCACTTCATAACATGCACTTTTTTTCTCCCCTAAAAATGTGGGAAAATGTCTGTGCGTCTTATGGAGCGAATATATGGAGTGGCCGGCCCAGTATTCCCGCCGCCGCATTAGAATACCGCTTGGCTCTACTGTGCAGTAGGACCTGCTCCTCCATCCTACCTGTTCCTTGGTCCAGCAGTGTCCTGCTTCCATTTGCCATCTTCTCTCCCTGGTGCCGGCATCTTCAGTGTGGGCACCCAGCTGTGACAGCTTGTGGCTTCACAGCCGGGTACCCACTGCACATGCGCGAGAAGCTGCACTTTGTGAATGGTCCTGTAGTCTTGTGGGACCTGTCATGTGTCCCACAAGACTCCGGGGAGAGAGGGGGGAGGACAACTCCTCAGAAGTGGGAGCGGGTACTTGTCAAATTTGTGTACCTGCCCCCCCCCTCCCCAAAGGTCTGCACTCTCTGGTCATGTCCTGTACTATGTCCGCAGTCTCTGGTCATCTCCTGTAGTATGTCCACAGTCTCTGGTCATCTCCTGTACTATGTCCGCAGTCTCTGGTCATCTCCTGTACTGTGTCTGCAGTCTCTGGTCATCCCCTGTACTGTCCGCAGTCTCTGGTCATTTCCTGTACTGTGTCCGCAGTCTCTGGTCATCTCCTGTACTATGTCCGCAGTCTCTGGTCATTTCCTGTACTGTGTCCGCAGTCTCTGGTCATTCCCTGACTATGTCCGCAGTCTCTGGTCATCTCCTGTACTGTGTCCGCAGTCTCTAGTCATCTCCTGTACTTTGTCCACAGTCTCTGGTCATCTCCTGTAGTATGTCCGCAGTCTCTGGTCATCTCCTGTACTATGTCCGCAGTCTCTCTGGTCATCTCCTGTACTGTGTCCGCAGTCTCTGGTCATCCCCTGTACTGTGTCCACAGTCTCAGGTCATTCCCTGTACTGTGTCCGCAGTCTCTGGTCATCTCCTGTACTGTACTAGTCCGCAGTCTCTGGTCATTTCCTGTACTGTGTCCGCAGTCTCTGGTCATTCCCTGTACTATATTCACAGTCTCTGGTCATCTCCTGTACTATGTCCGCAGTCTCTGGTCATTTCCTGTACTGTGTCCGCAGTCTCTGGTCATTCCCTGACTATGTCCGCAGTCTCTGGTCATCTCCTGTACTGTGTCCGCAGTCTCTGGTTATCTCTTGTACTTTGTCCGCAGTCTTTGGTCATCTCCTGTACTATGTCCGCAGTCTCTGGTCATTTCCTGTAGTATGTCCACAGTCTCTGGTCATCTCCTGTACTATGTCCGCAGTCTCTGGTCATCTCCTGTAATATGTCCGCAGTCTCTGGTCATCTCCTGTACTATGTCTGCAGTCTCTGGTCATTTCCTGTACTATGTCTGCAGTCTCTGGTCATCTCCTGTACTATGTCCGCAGTCTCTGGTCATGTCCTGCAGTACATCTACAGTCTCTGGTCATTCCCTGTACTATGTCTGCAGTCTCTGGTCATCTCCTGTACTGTGTCCGCAGTCTCTGGTCATGTCCTGCAGTACATCTGCAGTCTCTGGTAACTTCCTGTAGTATGTCCGCAGTCTCTGGTCATCTCCTGTACTATGTCCGCAGTCTCTGCTCATTTCCTGTAGTATGTCCGCAGTCTCTGGTCATCTCCTGTACTGTGTCTGCAGTCTCTGGTCATTTCCTGTACTATGTCTGCAGTCTCTGGTCATCTCCTGTACTATGTCCGCAGTATCTGGTCATGTCCTGCAGTACATCTGCAGTCTCTGGTCATTCCCTGTACTATGTCTGCAGTCTCTGGTCATCTCTCCTGTACTATGTCCGCAGTCTCTGGTCATCTCCTGTAATATGTCCGCAGTCTCTGGTCATCTCCTGTACTGTGTCTGCAGTCTCTGGTCATTTCCTGTACTATGTCTGCAGTCTCTGGTCATCTCCTGTACTATGTCCGCAGTATCTGGTCATGTCCTGCAGTACATCTGCAGTCTCTGGTCATCTCCTGTACTATGTCCGCAGTCTCTGGTCATTTCCTGTACTGTGTCCGCAGTCTCTGGTCATTCCCTGACTATGTCCGCAGTCTCTGGTCATCTCCTGTACTGTGTCCGCAGTCTCTGGTTATCTCCTGTACTTTGTCCGCAGTCTTTGGTCATCTCCTGTACTATGTCCGCAGTCTCTGGTCATTTCCTGTAGTATGTCCACAGTCTCTGGTAATTTCCTGTAGTATGTCCGCAGTCTCTGGTCATCTCCTGTACTATGTCCGCAGTCTCTGGTCATCTCCTGTAATATGTCCGCAGTCTCTGGACATCCCCTGTAATATGTCTGCAGTCTCTGGTCATTTCCTGTACTATGTCTGCAGTCTCTGGTCATCTCCTGTACTATGTCCGCAGTCTCTGGTCATGTCCTGCAGTACATCTACAGTCTCTGGTCATTCCCTGTACTATGTCTGCAGTCTCTGGTCATCTCCTGTACTGTGTCCGCAGTCTCTGGTCATGTCCTGCAGTACATCTGCAGTCTCTGGTAATTTCCTGTAGTATGTCCGCAGTCTCTGGTCATTTCCTGTACTATGTCCGCAGTCTCTGCTCATTTCCTGTAGTATGTCCGCAGTCTCTGGTCATCTCCTGTACTGTGTCTGCAGTCTCTGGTCATCTCCTGTACTGTGTCTGCAGTCTCTGGTCATCTCCTGTACTATGTCCGCAGTCTCTGCTCATTTCCTGTAGTATGTCCGCAGTCTCTGGTCATCTCCTGTACTGTGTCTGCAGTCTCTGGTCATCTCCTGTACTATGTCCGCAGTCTCTGGTCGTCTCCTGTACTGTGTCTGCAGTCTCTGGTCATCTCCTGTACTATGTCCGCAGTCTCTGGTCATCTCCTGTACTGTGTCTGCAGTCTCTGGTCATCTCCTGTACTGTGTCTGCAGTCTCTGGTAATCTCCTGCAGTACATCTGCAGTCTTTGATCATCTCCTGTACTATGTCTGCAGTCTCTGGTCATTTCTTGTACTATGTCTGCAGTCCATTGGTTCAGAATTTTTTTTACTTGTTTTCCTCCTCTAAAATCTAGGTGCATCTTATGGTCAGGTGCGTCTTATGGAGTGAAAAATACGGGTATTTCTGTTGAAATACAATATTTATGTATTCAGTAGAGATATATTGTTCAGCCAGTAGATGGCAGTATTTATAAACCTGTAGCTGCATCTCTGGTAAATTATAGGTCTTCTATTTATAATAAAGTTCCTGTTAGCAGAGAAGCAGCAGATACACACATTTGGACTGTGCACTGTCTGTACTGCAGGGCTATACACATAATCTCTAACAATTTCATTTTTGTTCTTGGGTTTAAATACACTTTAAAAATAAACAACAAATGTTGTCCTCTGACAATATGTTTAGCACTGTTGCCATAATTGATATAATCAGTAGTATATAATGAAAGCAGGCTACATAGTAGTACATGTTAAAACTAGATTTCTGTGAAATTGGTTCTAAAAAGTCAAGACATTTTTTACCTTAATGCGGGGTCAGCAACCCATCGATCTTGATCCACCAGTCAATTGCAGCCAGGTGACTGGTAGATTGCACCCTGGGCTGGCTGAAAAGAATAATAGAGAAAGAGGGACAATCCTATCCATTTACCACTAAGTCCAAATAAAGGGACACAAGCTTTTTATGACCTCACTTAATGGTTTGGTCATATACATCAGGTGAGAGCACAACCGGTGAAGGTGCACAATATTTTTTTATACTTGGTGAACTGCATGGTTATTATTTAGCATCACAGCAATAGAAGAAGTACCAAAGGCACGGACTCACTAAGGACATGATTGTAGTAGCAATATAATTGCAGTGATATTGTTACATATGCTTTTCATGTGGAACTTTTATTTATTTATTTAAATCTTATTCACTCATAATCTTTGCAATTGTCAGTGGAGCGCGACACTATTTCTGATTTTAAGATAAGTATAACATGTTTATTATAAAAAAAAAATAAGACTTTACAACAACCTTAAAGTGGTTGTAAAGGCTCATGTTTTTTTACCTTCATGTATTCTATGCATGAAGGTAAAAAACCTTCTCTGTGCAGCATCCCCCCCAGCCCCCCTAATACTTACCTAAGCCCCCTCTCGATCCAGCAATGTGAACTGGAGTATCGGCTATCCCGGGACTCCCTCTCCTCATTGGCTGAGACAGAATTTGGAGCCATTGGCTCCCACAGCTGTCACTTTCAGACAGTGAGCCAATGAGAAGAGAGAGGGGGCAGGGCTAAGCCACGGCTCAATGTGTGAATGGACACAAGGAGCAATGGGTGCCCCCATAGCAAGCTGCTTGCTGTTGGGGCACCTGAAAGGAGGGAGGAACCAGGAGCGCTGGCGGGGGGACCCAAGAAGAGGAAGATCCAGGCTGCTCTGTTCAAAACCACTGCACACAGAAGGTAAGTATAGGTATGTTTTTAAAAAAAAAAAGCCTTTAGAATCACTTTTATCATCACTGGGGTTACATCAATTCTAACAACAATAAAAAACAGCAAAAAACACACAAAAAACACTGCAATGGTTTTCAGTTAAGACTTTAAGTATACTAAAATAACATATGGAGAAAGCTTACCCATAACAGTATACCTTTGTTATAGCCACACACTTATAAACAATATTTAAAATATTTAAGACGAGATAGCTTATAACTATGGAGTTGGTCTAAATGCAACTGTGTACTTCTGTTTGCCCAATGAATGGTACAGTGTATGGTCATCTAGAACAGGTCCATTTTTTCAATTCACCAGTAGATGGCACCAACATCATATCGGATGCTATGTTATTCTAGGTATGACCATGAACTTCAGAGCTTTCTACTGATAAAGATAAGTATATTTAGAAATGTTTGGGGGAAAATAATGACAATTAGAAGAAAGCTATTGTGTGTGTTGCTCCAAACTTCAGTTCACATTTGATAAGGCTTTCAGTGCCCCTCTTTCTTCTGTAGAAACAGTTACCCTTTAACATTCACTAATTGTTAATTAATCAGCCAATTGACTAGAAAATAATTGCATGCCTATGAGCGGACTGCTACATCTGCAGACAACTCCTGGCCTACTGATCTTTGGGGAAGGTGGTGATTGTTCAGAATAGACTTTGCAAAAAGATTGCTGTTTTCCTAAGAAAAGGTGGGTTTTTGCTTAGTGTTTAATACTTGTACATATCTATGTAGGCATCATTCATAGCAAAGATCTTAGTGTTCAATCTTTTTTAAGTATACAGCTGGTAGAAGGGCTTGCTCACACTGGCACTGGGTGGCTAAAAGCTGCTTCGGCAACATTCCACCCACACTCTGGATGGTCTCCACTAGGAGAAACAAATGTTGCATACCACATTCTGGCTCAGTTCAGTTTTCGGCACCTGGTATTTGAGATGAGCTCACGTGGGTCCAGAAATGTGCACCAAGTGTTCCCTTTGAAAGAAACCCAGGGATTTAAATAACTGGGAAATAACTTTGCCGGTGTACATACTGTAAAGGAATGGCAGAATAGGAAAGAAGGGAGGTGGATGTACCATTAATTGTCAAAAATAGCATAAGGCTAAGGTTAATGCCAAAAAACAAAATAACTTCATCCCCTCCTGGTCTGCCTTCAAACAAGGGATTTTCCCTTAGAGCAGTACTCCATCTTTCCTTTCACTTTAAATAGCTGGTTTGGGCCAAGCTGGCCCAAAGAAACTATTTACTTTGCTAATTGCTGCAGATGCTGTCAGGGCTGTAAACAGCTGTGAACCAGTAGTGGTACAGGGACTTTTCATTTGCTGCCAGAACAAAATTGAGTTGGGCTGAAAGCTTCTCAGCAGGGCCGGACTGACCATTTGGAAACTCGGGCACTGCCCGAGGGCCCGGGGCCAGTATGGGCCCCATGAGATGCCCCTGGTACCTTTTTCATAGGCTTTTTTGAGTTTGGGCGAGGACACAGGGGTCCCATGATCCCCTATTGCCCGGGAGCCTCATGAGTTGTCAGTCCGCCCCTGCTTCTCAGGTGCTAATAAAAAGCCTTGCATTTTTATCAATGAATATAAGGCTTCCTCCAAATGGCTCTAAAATCCCCCCCCCCCCCCCCCCTTTCCCAGAGTAGTACAGTGTTAACTACTCTGATTATATCTACAAAAGATAAAAAGAACAAGAAGAAAACAATTTTAAAACAAATTTATAAAAACAATTTAATTTTTTTTTAAAAAATACTGTCACCATTCAGTATCCCTGATCACCCCCACGCCAGTCATGTGATGATGCTGGACTGCACTGCTGACAAAATGTAAAAAGAAAAAAATATGAAAAAAATGTATTTAATTTCTTCATTTAAAAAAATGACAAAAAATTACCACTTCAAAAAACCCACCATCCCTCTTACTAAATACCTTGGACTGTCTAATTTCCAAGAAGGAGTCATTTGGGGGGAATTTGTACTGTCCTGACATTTTAGGTCAAGAAAAGAGATAGGCCATCAGTACATCAGAAATGATCAATTTTCAAATATATATACCATAGTTGTGTGCGGTGAGGACAGTCAGTAGTGAGCAGTGTGCGGTGAGGACAGTCAGTGAGCAGTGTGCGGTGAGGACAGTCAGTGAGCAGTGTGCGGTGAGGACAGTCAGTGAGCAGTGTGCGGTGAGGACAGTCAGTGAGCAGTGTGCGGTGAGGACAGTCAGTGAGCAGTGTGCGGTGAGGACAGTCAGTGAGCAGTGTGCGGTGAGGACAGTCAGTGAGCAGTGTGCGGTGAGGACAGTCAGTGAGCAGTGTGCGGTGAGGACAGTCAGTGAGCAGTGTGCGGTGAGGACAGTCAGTGAGCAGTGTGCGGTGAGGACAGTCAGTGTGCAGTGCGATGAGGACAGTCAGTGAGCAGGTAGTGATGAGGACAGTCAGTGAGCAGTGTGCGATGAGGGACAGTCAGTGAGAAGGTAGTGATGAGGACAGTCAGTGAGCAGTGTGTGGTGAGGAAAGTCATTTAGCAATGAGTGATGAGGATAATCAGTCAGTGAACAGTGTGCGGTGAGGACAGTCAATGGGCAATGTGCGTTGAGGACAGTCAGTGAGCAGTGCGCGATGAGGACAGTCAATGGGCAATGTGCGTTGAGGACAGTCAGTGAGCAGTGTGCAATGAGGACAGTCAGTGAGCAGTGTGCAATGAGGACAGTCAATGAGCAGTGTGCAATGAGAGGACAGTCAATGGGCAATGTGCGATGAGGACAGTTAGTGAGCAGTGTGCGATGAGGACAGTCAGTGGGCAGTGTGCGATGAGGACAGTCAGTGAGAAGGTAGTGCGGTGAGGACAGTCAGTGAGCAGTGTGCGATGAGGACAGTCAGTGAGAAGGTGTGCATGAGGGACAGTCAGTGAGAAGTGTGCATGAGGACAGTCAGTGAGAAGTGTGATGAGGACAGTCAGTGAGCAGTGTGCGATGAGGACAGTCAGTGAGAAGTAGTGATGGAGGACAGTCAGTGAGCAGTGTGCGATGAGGAGAGTCAGTGAGAAGGTAGTGATGAGGGCAGTCAGTGAGAAGGTAGTGATGAGGACAGTCAGTGAGAAGTGTAGTGATGAGGACAGTCAGTGAGCAGTGTGCGATGAGGACAGTCAGTGAGAAGGTAGTGATGAGGACAGTCAGTGAGCAGTGTGCGATGAGGACAGTCAGTGAGAAGTGTAGTGATGAGGACAGTCAGTGAGCAGTGTGCGATGAGGACAGTCAGTGAGAAGGTAGTGCATGAGGACAGTCAGTGAGAAGTGTGCGGTGATGAGGACAGTCAGTGAGAAGGTAGTGATGAGGACAGTCAGTGAGCAGTGTGCGATGAGGACAGTCAGTGAGAAGGTAGTGAGGGTCTGAGACAGTCAGTGAGCAGTGTGCGATGAGGACAGTCAGTGAGAAGGTAGTGATGTGAGGACAGTCAGTGAGCAGTGTGCGATGAGGACAGTCAGTGAGCAAGGTAGTGATGAGGACAGTCAGTGAGAAGGTAGTGATGAGGACAGTCAGTGAGCAGTGTGCGATGAGGACAGTCAGTGAGAAGTAGTGATGAGGACAGTCAGTGAGCAGTGTGCAGTGAGGAAAGTCATTTAGCAGTGAGTGATGAGGATAGTCAGTCAGTGAGCAGTGTGCAGTGAGGAAAGTCATTTA